ACCTGAATTCATCTTAACTTATATAAAATTAGTTTTAATTTACATGCTTATCATGAGGTATGATTATCATTATTATTGTTATAATGCTTCCTATGTATCGCAAATAATTTAAATTTATAATTTCTATAAATAGTATTCTCTATTTTATCAACAATTTTTTAGGTGGTTAATAAAACATTACGTTATATAAATATTTGTACTTTTGGTTAAGCGATATAATTTTGGGCTACTGCGGATATTTTTATCCTGTATCTTGAAGTTCCGTAATTCCATGCGTATTTCTGTATTTTACTTAAATATGAAATTATTGTTTAAAAGGGTGTAATACTTCTTTTACTTTATCATTGAAATACAATTGTTTTGAAGTCCGGCTAGCGCAACTATACATAAGGCTTTACCCAAATATTCATTAAATTATTGTTTAATCTTAAGAGTTTCCAAAAATAAAGTGAAGTTTTATTTAGTAATATTTTTTTGCTAAGCTATTAATATTCGAATTTTTTATGCTAATTTTATATTAGATATTTCTAAAGCTTTCAACAGATTCATGTACATTTTTTTAAGTGTAAGAATTATTATATTATTTCTTGGTAATAATTTAAATTTTATAAGTATATGTAAATTGTATTAGAACATATCTTACATATTTTAGTCATATACATTGTAAAAAATTCAATTATTCATTATTGTTATTTTCTTATGAAACGAATACCTCTACCAATTCGTTAGGAATGTGGCAAATGATGTTCCTGAGAGTGATGATGTTGTTCTGTTGTAAGACCTTGTGTAGTCCATTGTACAATTTGCAATTCTTGTTGATGCTCGTCTATTAACGATTCTTAGTTAATGGCCATATTTTTATTGGTTTTTGGATTAATTATCTTGACTGTAGTACAGTTATTTAAAACATTATTTTCAATATTGTTTGTTCAAAAATATAGTTTTTTTTTATTGCCTTTATATCCTTTCAAATCATTCAATTTATTCAATACCGCTTTTTTGAACACTTATTTTATGTTTTTAATGAAAATGTTTGTGTTTATTTTATCGTAATTTTATTTTATATCGATTTATTATTAATTTTTAGTATCGCGAATATTTTCACTTTTTGTATAAAATAATAAATTTTTATATTATTATTTTTTAATAATTAATTTTGTTTCTTAGGAATTGTTTTAATTTCTTTGAGTTCTTCCAAAATTTGATTTCTCAAATGTCGATCTACCTTAGCGGCTGCTGATCGCTTTCGTAACTGCTCTAGGATGGCTTCGCGTTCTTCGTTCAAAATTTGATTTTTCAAATGTTGATCTGCCTTAGCGGCTGCTGATCGTTTTCGTAATTGTTCTAGGACGGCTTCGTGATCATCGTCCATATTCTCATTCTCCCGATCGGTTGATTCCTGTATCAACAGTTGAATCCTGCGGGCTTCCTCGTCGCTTATGATATCTCCCATCCTGAGTTATGTATTATTATTATTATTATTTGTTGTTTTTATTATTATATATATTTTTTAAATTTCTTCTCCTCTTTTATGAGGATACTTATTATTTTTATATCGGGACCACTGCTTTCCTGTATACCTTGGACTCAGTTCAGGTTGACAGTTTATGAATAATTTATTTCAAGCGGCTGATTATATTAAGTCACTTTCTTGTTAAATTATTTTGATTAGTGTTCGTGACTGTGCGATTCTTTATTATTAAATTTGGCTTTTCTGTGATTTAACCTTTTTTGGGTTACTTTTAATTTTTCACCACTTTGTTATTCACTTTATAATCCACCAAATGTTTTATTCAAATAGCACTTTGATCACTTTACGTATAACACTTTTTTCAATGTTTTCTTTTCTCCTTTATTAGGATACTTGTTAGTTTTTAATCCACTGCAAACACCTTTGTTATCGGGTGTTATATATTGCAGGGATTTTTTCTTTGACACACGCGAAATCTCTTTTTATTTATTCGAGATTTTTTTCCGGTGTCCTGGCTCGGGCGCCAATATTTCATTCGAGTTCGGTTATATGTTTTAAAAAAGATATATTTATTAATGGGTAGAATTCGCTTCTAACCCTCTTAAAACCGTACAAAAGAATGAAAACTTAAAACTAACTTAAAACTAAAAATGAAAACTTCAACGTTCTACATATTACGATGTTTACTTTAAAACGCTTAGCCGACAAAATCCAACAAAGTGAGCGATGCTCTTGCTTTTATATTCAAACGATCTGAGCTTACAAATAAAGCTTTTTACTCAAAGCTTGCTTAGATCGTAATTTAAATTCTAACTTGTTCTCTATGTTTTCTCTTACAAGATAACTTACTGTTTTATACTTAACCCTATAAGGTGAGAGCATGCGATAACATGCATAGAAGAAATTTGTTTTAGGCTACATTTGTTTTAGGCTACATGTGTAATTAGCTTCCATTAATATAATAGTGAAAGAAAACATGTTCTATGATATATAACATTACAATATATTATATAAATTTACTTACCTGCTACTTTTCGTACTTTCTGCAATCAGTTCATCGAGTTCTATTAGGGTTTTTAAATCCGTTTCAACATCAGAAGGTAATAGATCACCTGTTTCTACAACGAGTAAATATCCCCGTGCATTGCGCTTGAGCACATCTAATGATTTATTCATCATTAATTTAAGTGTAGGCATTTGGTATGCAATATTTTTTGAGTTCATATCACTTTTAATGTAATTATTTGTGAATATACCCAACAAGTAATCAGTTTTGTTATCACTAAATTCATTAAGATCTTGAGCATTCATTAAGAGTTTGTGGTGAAGATTCAGGGTTTGCTTTTGCTGCTGCCAATCTCTTAAAAGATTTCTTCCGTCTACTGAATTACAAACATCCACATCCACTTTGTCAAACTCATCAATTGAAGAATTTGTGACCATCGTTTGACGTCCTCCACCCATAATGACATTTAATTTTTTACCCGTTTCACTTAAAATCAATTGTTGTGCAATGTCCCAACACTTTTGAGTGAGTTCACCTTTTGGCATTGACGCATCGCATTCCCAATTAGTATCTGGCGTATGTGCATACAAAGCTGCTATTATCGGTCCAGTGACACGATTTTCTGTAATAAAACCGGTATTCAAACCCTTATCCTGCGCGTGTGCGAGTACACTTTTGATGTGATGTGTTTGATTAGCTGCTGCTGTGCAGTTTTGAAATGGTACCGCTGTATCCAATCCACCAACCTTATCATTCGTTTGCACACCACCAAACAAAGCAGTTGCCCTGGTAAAAGGATCACATATCTTTAAGTGATTGCAGTTACTCTATAATATATATTAAGATCTTTATTAGAATGGATTCAAGTAAAATTAAATTGACTACAATTTTATACTCACCTTTAAACGTGCCATGTACGGAAATTTCTCCCAACTTAATTCTTTGATCGTTTCATTTTGATTTAAGAATCTTACTGCAGCAAGAGACGTTGGATGTATACCATTGACCACAAAAATAATAACATTTTTGACTTTGGTATTACCGTTTTCTAGGCTGAGTGTAGCTTCCAATTCTTTAATCCCCTTATCGAACCAAATTTTTTGCTCCATTGTCAATTTATCCTTCCAATAATGTACACTGGCTACATTTGAAACATCAGTATCTACTTCATAACGCATTAGAAAACCAATACAAAATATGGTTATTATTAATGTCATTAAAATAATTGAAGCCACAATAAATATTTGAGAAGATTTTAAAGTCTTCTTCCCAAAGACGTGAAACGATTTTTCACCCTCCATGCGGATTAATAAAAACAAGTGTAACATTCAAGTTCTAAAATACCACTGATCTATATTTCTGTCTATCATTGTTAATTCATCATTTCCAGTTAATAGATCGTAAACAAAAGCAGATACTTTATCTAAACAACACAGATACTATTGCAGTTAAACACATTTTTCACTCATAATAAAGATAAAAACATTTGCGCTTTTGTTTATTTTATTTTTGATTTACACTTAAAATAATAATAAAAGTGTCATTAAAAATAAATGTTTATTATAAACATTAAACGACTATTTACACATTCTGATCAGTTCAGTTACAATTTGGTATCTAATTTAAATGAGTTTCTATACATGATGAAAAAGTATCTTAAAGTGTTTATATGCGTATTTAAAGCTTTATTTTCTAAATATTTTGATAATCAGAATGTTAGAATTGGGGAAGAATATATGTTTATATTCTTCATAAAAATTTATTACTCCAACTCATCTATCAATGTCCACCATTAGCTAGGAATAGATGGAAAATCGTTGAACCCCTTTTTAACTTGACCGAGTATATAGACTTGTCAGTTTGATTCACTTTCACTAAGATGGACTTTTTCTTGTTGTAGTAGGGATTTGAAAAGCAGATAACATGTAAGAATTACAAGACAAAGACATGGACTGGAATGTGGATAGGCGACATGTCAAGTAAGGAAAGGGGGAAGAAGAAGGGATACAATTGAAATCAACCCGGGTTCAGCCGCAGAAATTTAGTCATTGCAAGAGAATGAGTCTAAAGGTCAATCGGACTAAGAGTAGTGTGGTTAGAAGGAAAAGCGACCAGATGAGCGACGTCATAGGGAAAAAGGAAAGTTATGCATTTCAGCATTGTTGGTATGCTGACATTGTTTTTACGGTTGTGGCTCTTCTATTCCGTGATATATTAACAGACCATTATTTGTACACAAGACCGCCACACCAACCTAACATAACTTAATATCTGTTAAAAAATTATTTTTAAATTTCAAAGTTAATTTATTTTATTTCTTGACATTTTTTAATTTGCTATTTATAAATATATATTTTTTATATTTATTTTATTTTTATTTTATTACTATATATATCTCTATGTTATATAATTGAGATACAAAATATCTATTAAAAATTATTTTTAATTTTAAAACTTTATTAATTTTATCTTTTTAATTTGTTTTAGTTTTCATTTATAAAAATTTATATATATAGATCATTTTTTTATCTCATTTTTTTATATCAATTTTTTTATTTTTTTTTATCCTTATTCAAAAATTGTCACAGGTATGTCAATGGTATATTCATATTTTATGTATCACAAATTAACTATTTTTATAAAACTATAGAAGAAATAAAATTTGATTGGATTTTTAAAGTCAATTATGACGAAAAAAGCTTTGTTGTTTCATAGAATCTATAGTTTTAATAGAGAAGTATTTTAAGCAGTAATAAATTACAACAATTAATATTTCTTATTTATTTATTTATCTGGTAGCGTACGAGTTCAACCCTCGGTACTTGTAGTCTCAAAAATTTATCCACGAATAATGAAATATTAGTATCTAAATTTTCCAAAATTTGAATAAGTTCAAAACCACTGATGATTGGGTATTTGGCAATACAGCTGTATGGACAGTCAAAAATTCAATTAGTTAAAAAATAATAATAAAGAATTGTTGTTGTAATTAACTACTGTTCAAAATACGTCTCGAAAAAAATTTTATTTTATTGGTTTTATATAAAATACTATTTCTATTAAGAAGTGTAATTAATATTTAATTAATTATACATATTCAAATGTTTGAGGTTAAATGCAGTAATTAACATTCGCATTCATAAATTATTCAAAGGACAATGCATAGTGCAAATTTGATAGGATTGTTTAGCTTATACAAAGGACGATGTGCATTCGAGCATATAGTAAAGGCCTTTTGTGAAGTGACATATATGTACATATATATGTATAATATTAAATAACTACAAAATGAATTGTCCTTTTAAACATTGCTGAAAATTAGCTCAAAACATTTCCGATTAAAACACATATAATTGCAAATAATAATTACACATTTATATGCCAACATATTAATTGAAATTGTATTCATTTTAAAGATACTACATATTATTATACATATATAAATTTATATACAATTTCAATATATTTGCCTTATAATTATTTTACAAATGCATAGTAGTTTACATACATTCATACATGCATATATCGGCATTTCATGGATGTAAGTCCATAGTAAAATGTATTTCATGTATTTTAGTACAAATGTGCTTCCCTCTATTCCTTTATCCTTTTCAAATATTTATATGTTATTTATTCCATTTATATTTTGATTTCTTCCTGGAGAAATGTCATATTGTTAAATTAAATCGTTGACAATTTTCTGCGTTTTCAATTATTATCAATTTTTCCTTCTAATTTAATTTTGCTTTGAAGTTATTTTTACGTGAATAAATCGTAAGACCATCATTTCATGTGAAGTATTAATTTTTTATATTGACCAACTTTTGATATGTCCTTTTTATTAAATCTATTTTTTTCCATATATAAATTTTGACATTTAAAACAAACAAGCCACACCGGAAGTGAAACCTATTTGACCCTTCAATGCATTTGTCACATTATTTGTGTTCATATTATGACAGTTTGTCTGGGCTTTCTGATATGACAATTTCATAAGACAATTTCAATGTCCAAACCATTGCGGTTCATATCTCACCGCAGGACACCATACCTCTCCATACAATAACTGCTCTTGAGCATGTGATTATTCTATTGTCTTTGAAAATTGGAATCAATTATTGAATAAATCGAAATGTTTTGATTGGTTTCGATTTAATTTTTCTTCTTTATTATTATTATTTTTTTACAATTATTATTGACATTTTTTTAGTTTCTTACTTACAACTTACTATATTGTATAAAAATCAATGTCATCATAACAGTTTTAATTCGTAAGACAATTTAATACATAAAAGCGTAAAAAGATTTTAATTATTTAAATATTATTTTGTTTATTCTCTTCTCTTAAAACTTTCTTTCTACTTTCGATGTGAACAAGTAATTTCTAAACTACATCGTTCTCCGGCTATCTGCCGTCTCTCTTCTCTGATCTTTCTATTATTATCCTCCATCCAATATCTGCATATAATAATCTTCTATTGTCTTTTAAAATTGAAATCAATTATTAGAAGGCGTTCTTAGTGGTATGGTAGTATGGTAGAAGTTATTTATGCCCGAATAACAACTAAACATAAACAAAGATTTAAAATGGTCCATATATATATTGTACAAGTCTATATATATGAGGATCTAATAAATTAAATATCACTTTTTTTTTTGTGTCCACAATTTTCATTTATAAGTAAGAATGGTCATTTATCTATTGAATATGGCCATATTATATAAATACTATATATATATATATAAGTTATATTTAGGAAATTTGTCTATTGTATTGGGTCATACACATAAAGAGTCATGTGATATTACCACCATTCAGTTCACATTAATAAATACAAGTAGCCATCTATCTGTTTCATAGGGACATATATAAGAGAAGTTTTGTAATTCCACAATTATTCAGTGTCCACATTTCACAATTATAAGCAAGAATATATCTAATTAGGTTTATACTGAGATATTAAAATCCAAAAAATATATTATCTACAATGAATTTATCTTAAGCTTTCTTCTATATACTAGCACACATACTATCGTACGTATTAGCAGCTCATTTTCGTTCGTATAAATAAAGACTTAGCTGTTATTATTAAAATTATTATTTTTATTATTAATTTTTAAAAAATTTAAAGCTACTTGCAGTAATATGTTATATGTTATTGTTTATTTAAATTTTTATCATGTTTAAAATTAAAACTCAAACTATTTTCAATCTGAAAGAATGCAAATATTATATGTATGCACTTGTCATTCTTATTCTCTTAGTCTATCACAACATTATCTCTAGTTTATACTACATTTTCGATATCATTATGCCGACAGGATTTTTTCAAATCACAACAAAAACTGCTTCACAGTATGCTACATAAATTGTATTGGTCATTTATATTTTGCAACATAAATAAAACGTGCCTACAGATATACGTACAAAGAGATACAGCTATATTAGATATACAAATGGAGACAGGGATTAAAAATCATATTCCCTCTTATCAGTCTATTACTTTTAAAACAATCTGATATTATAAAATAAATAATTTAATATAATAATTTATTATATAAATTATGGTTCATTTTTTATAAAAATAACCAAAAAAGCTTTCACGACCTAAAAGCACACATATCGTAAAAGCTTTCTAGTTGTTTTTAAAAATACCGTATTACGTTTATAAAGCTTTAATATTTGAAAAAGCTCATATTTTCAAAAAGTTTATGAAAGCTATTTGTAATGATTTTCGAATTCGAAATTCAACAGTAAATTGCAAAAAACAAATCTAAAAAGTTTCTTCTAAAAAGGAATATATATATTTTATAAAATCTGGTAAACAAAGTGTTAGCACCAAAAACATAGAAATATATATATATGTTAGCACAAGAATTTCAGCTTAAAAATATAGCTTGACTGCTTTCTACTACTACTACTACTACTACTACTACTACTACTACTACTACTTTCTGATTACTTTCAAATAAGTTTTCTGTAGTTCTAAGCGTATTTGAGACTTATTTGAATTCAATCATAATCCACGATACGAAACTCTTACAGAATTTACTTTTTCCTTCTCACTATTAACTTGAGAGCGACATAGAACATTTACCTATCTTATTTTCTAATTCTATGAAAAACTAAATTTTATATTAGCAAAAACAAAATTTATGTCGATATGTGGCATTGATTAAATAAGGTCCAAAGATGAATTCATTTTCGATTTCATTTATTCATAACCACAGATCCGCTGCACTACCCTCTATTTCATGTATTTAAGTAAACATCGACATCTAATAAGAAGTGTCATCTTCCAGTAATTTAATTTTTTTAAGTATAGAGTTTTCTGTCACATTGTGTTTTTTAATTTAAGAACAATC